AATAGGAGAGGAGAGAAGAGAAGGAGAAGAAGAGAAGAGAGGAAGAAGAAAGAAGAAGAAGGGAGAGAGAAGAAGGAGAAGGAGGAGAAGAAGAGGAGAGGAGGACAGGAGAGGGGAGGAGAAGAGAAGGCAAGAGATAAAAAGGAAAGGAGAGAAGGGGAGAGGAGGAGAGTAGAGTAGTGGTAGAGGAGAGGGAAGAAAAGGAAAGAAAGAAGATAGAAGATGAATGGAGAGAGAAAGTGAGGAAAACAGAAGGAAAAAAAAGATAGTGACAGAAGTAGAAACGGAGGGAGCGGAGGAGCGGAGGGCAAAGGATGAGAGTTCCTCATTACAACATTCTGTACAACATTTCTAATGAATAAATATGAACACAACACACAACACCTCGGCGGAATGTTTGGACAGCTCGGCAACCTTGCCTCCTTTGTTGTTATAATTGGATAATGATGGTAACATAATTAATTTAGTGCGATAATTAAGGAAGAAAAAGCCGTTAGCTAATAATATTAAAATGAATTAGACCTGTGGGTCTGGTGCAATTATTTCCCTGGAATGTAGGAGGACCCGCGGCTGTGCTGCTGGAGAGCGGATGGAGATGATGCAAACGGGATTATTTACTGCCATGCAAGGACATAAAAAGACAACAACTGAAAGGTGTAGATTATGATTTCAGTAAAGCCCGGAGAATTTTTTGCTCGATATACACATCAGTTTCCTGTCAGGGCAATCATTTGCAGAGAACGGTTAAAGCCTGGGTTATTGGTGAAAGGAGTTCTTGCAGTAAAAAGCGGAAGATCTTTTACCTTTTAGGCTTTTGTGTATAAGTTGAAGGAGAGAGTGGCTGTGGGATCTCTGAAAAAAGGGGAACTTTACCCCACAATCTCTTTTTGTGAGAGATTTTGCCACAACTTTACTGTGACACTGACAGGGAGACCCGCCCTCCGCGCACCATCCTGTGGTTTCAGCCACAATTCTGCTGTGAATTATCTGACTATTCTCTTATTTTATTGACCTTGAGAGTATTCTAGGGGGCTGGTGACACTATAATTCAATGATGACTTGGACCCCTGGTGTCTCCATAAAGCAGACCTGTCGCCAACTGCTTAGTAGGAGTGGGGTAACCCCACCCCAGCATAGGGAAGGTGGGCAAAGTTCTCCACTCTCTGGAAAGGAAAAGAAAGACTAGGAATGGGGCAACCCCCCCCAGCATAGGGAAAGGTGGGCAAAGTTCTCCACTCTAGAAGGGAAAAGAAAGACTAGGAATGGGGCAACCCCACCCCAGCATAGGAAAGGTGGGCAAAGTTCTTCACTTAAGAAGGGAAAAAAAAAAGACTAGAAATGGGGCAAGCCCCCCCTAGCATAGGGAAGGTGGGCAAAGTTCTCCACTCTAAGAAGGGAAAAGAAAAAGACTAGGAATGGGGTAACCCCACCCCAGCATAGGGAAGGTGGGCAAAGTTCGCCACTCTAGAAGGGAAAAGAAAGACTAGGAGTGGGGCAACCCCACCCCAGCATAGGGAAGGTGGGCAATGTTTACGCCATAAAGGAAGAGAAAAAGACTAGGAATGGGGCACCCCCACCCCAGCATAGGGAAGGTGGGCAAGTTTACCACTATAAGGAAAGAGAAAGACTAGGAATGGGGCAACCCTACCCTAGCATAGAGAAGGTGGGAAAGGTTCACCACTCCAGAAGAAAAAGAAAGAATAGGAGTGGGGAACCCCCACCCCAGCATAGGTAAGGTGGGCAAAGTTCTTCATTCTAGAAGGGAAAAGAAAGAATAGGAATGGGGCAACCCCACCCCAGCATAGGGAAGGTGGGCAAAGTTCTCCACTCTACAAGGGAAAAAGAAAAACTAGGAATGGGGCAACCCCAACCAAGAATAGGGAAGGTGGGCAAAGTTCTCCACTCCATAAAGGAAAATAAAGACTAGGAATGGGGCAACCCCACCCCAGCATAGGAAAGGTGGGCAAAGTTCTCCATTCTAGCAGAAATAAGAAAGACTAGGAGTGGGGTACCCCACTTCAGAAAGGGAAGGTGGGCAAAGTTCACCATTCCTAGAAGGTAAAAGAAAGACTAGGAAGTGCGGCACGCCCATTCCAGCATAGGGAAGGTGGGCAAAGTTCACCACTCTAGAAGGGAAAAGAAAGACTAGGAATGGGGCACTAGGAATGGGGGCAACCCCACAGCAGCAAGGGAAGGTGGGCAAAGTTCACCATTTCAGAAGGGAAAAGAAAGACTAGGAATGGGGCACCCCCACCGCAGCATAGGGAAGGTGGGCAAAGCTCTCCACTCTAGAATGTAAAAAGACTAGGAGTGGGGCACCCCCATCCCAGCATAGGGCAGGTGCTAAAAGTTCTCCACTCTATAAGGGAAAAGAAAGACTAGGAGTGGGGCACCCCCCACCGCAGCATAGGCGAGGTGGGCTAAGTTCACCACTCCAGAAGGGAAAAGAAAGACTAGGAGTGGGGCTACCCAACCGCAGCATAGGGAAGGTGGGCAATGTTCTCCACTGTAGAAGGGAAAAGGACTTGGAGTGGGGCACCCCTATCATAGCTGTACTGGGGAGAGAGGTGGCAGAATGGGGGCTGATCATGGACTGGGGAGAGAGGAGGCAGATTGGGAGCTGAACATGAACTGGGGAGAGAGGAGGCAGAATGGAAGATGATCATGGACTAGGGAGAGAGGAGGCAGAATGGGGGCTGATTATGGACTGGGGAGAGAAGAGGAAGAATGGGGGCTGATCATGGACTGGGGAGAGAGGAGACAGAATGGAAGGTGATCATGGACTGGGGAGAGAGGAGAGACAGAATGAAAGCTGATCATGGACTGGGAGAGAGGAGGCAGAATGGGGGTTGATCATGGACTGGGGAGAGAGGAGGAAGAATGGAGGTGATCATGGACTGGGGAGAGAGGAGGCAGAATGGTAGGTGATCATGGACTGGGGTAGAGAGGAGGCAGAATGGTAGGTGATCATGGACTGGGGAGAGAGGAGGCAGAATGGAAGGTGATCATGGACTGGGGAGAGAGGAGACAGAATGGGGGCTGATCATGGACGGGGAGAGAGGAGGCAGAATGGGGGTAATCATGGACTGGGGAGAGAGGAGGAAGAATGGGGGTGATCATGGACTGGGGAATGAGAGGACAGAATGGAAGGTGATCATGGACTGAGGGAGAGAGGAGGCAGAATGGTAGGGACTGATCATAGATGAGGAGAGAGGAGGCAGAAAAGAAGATGATCATGGACTGGGAAGATGGAAGGCTGAATGGGGGCTGATCATGAATGGGAGAGAGGAGGCAGAATGGGGCTAATCATGGACTGGGGAGAGAGGAGGACGAATGGGGGCTGATCATGGACTGGGGAATGAGGAGACAGAATGGAAGGTGATCATGGATTGAGTGAGGAGAGAGGAGGCATAATAGGGACTGATCATAGATTGAGGAGAGAGGGGGCAGAAAAGAAGATGATCATGGACTGGGAAATGGAAGGCAGAAGGGGATCTGCTGATGGAATGGGAAGAGAGGAGGCAGTGTGAAAGGCGACCATGAACTGGGGAGGGAGAAAGGAAAAGTGGGAGCTGATCATGGACTGGGTAGGATAGGTGGTAGAGTAGAAGGTCCTGGTCCCACCATATAGGCTTTAGTTGGATCTATTCAGAATACTGTGTCCAGTTCTAGAGAACTCAACTCCAAGAAGATATTGATATGACAGAACAAGTCCAGAGACAGGCAACAAACATGGTGAACGGTCTAATGGATAAAACAAACCACAAGCAACTGGAGGAACACAGAAGGGAAAAGATGGACATGTCTGGAACTTCTAAATACAAGAAGGATGTTCAGGATTTCCAATGTGAAGCAGTTTGTTGCAGTATATAGAACCCATGACACATATTTCATGCTATAGAATCCATATCCCGCCTTCCAGCGCGTGACGCCAATGTCGCGTTCAAACAAACACGCTGCTGGTAAGCCTGAAATATGACAAAGTGACATTTGGCCCGCAGCGCGAGGTTGGTGTCATAACATATCGCGGAGAGCCGCCTTCTTCTCTTCACCTCCAGTCATGGAAGAAACGGATTAGGTAATGTCACCGGAACAAAGTCTTTGCCCGCGGCAGAAGATGACACATACGTACATAAATATAAAATATATACGGCGCTAATAGATGTCTACACTTCACTATCCTCCCCGGGGACTCACTATCTGCTAGACAGACACTCCATCCATACCACTGACCTGTAATGTGCTCATTGTTACAGATGGGAGACGAGGCAGCCGTTCACTGGTCCAGCAGGTAGTAGTTGTTGGATGTCGCCGCCATGATTTACAATCCCCCTGCAGACCCATTTGGTATTATTATAGGATTTCTAGGGGTTGGGGGTGCAGAGGCAGTCCCACCACTTGGCAACCTCACCAATGAAAGCTAAGCTTTGGGCTACACGAATATTGCCTTCATACAAGATCCATGGGTATTCCTCCTTGAATCTTCTCTCTTTTGCGTAACGTTTGCAGATCTGTGCGGTAATTCGGCATCAAACAAATCCTCAGCTTTGCAGGGAATTCCCGTATTCCAGACCGGTCTCTCCTGCTCCCTTCCCTTGCTCAGGATGACTGGTCTTGTACCCGCCCCCCTTGTAGGTTTTCACAGGCATCCTATAGTGCAGCCTTTCTCAACCAGGGTGCCCAGGCACCCCGGGGTGCCTTGAGGTTTCTTCATGAGGTCTTAAAATTGGCCAAAACTTGTATACAAGCCAGCAGGTGGAACAAGCCCGCCTTTTAGTTACACAAAGCCACAGGTTTTCATTGGGAACCATTACGACCTTCTAGCCGCCGGCATCCTGACAACCGTTGACATCATTAGTTGATAAGGAGGCTATCAGCTGCCTGCACAGCAGACTAGTCTGACCCTCCCCCGCCCCTTTCCATCAGCACTGGGGTCACATTAGCTCAGTGATGGAGAAAAACTGAGGGAGAGGACAAACAGTGGAATACTAGTCAGTACCAGGGTGCAAAAGTGTATTTGCTTTGGAAGAATAAATCCCCTCCAATGTTGAGTGTCCTTCATGTGTGGGATGTTGGTGCATTACGTAAAACTATTAGAATCATTTTTTCACATTTTAAAATGGGGTGCCTCAAGACTGTCCATCATTTTAAAGGGTGCCTCAAGACTGTCCATCATTTTAAATGGTGCCCATCAAGACTGTCCAAGACTGTCCATCATTTTAAAGGGTGCCTCAAGACTTCATTTTAAAGGGTGCCTCAAGACTGTCCATCATTTTAAAGGGTGCCTAGGGACTGTCCATCATTTTAAAGGGTGCCTGCCTCAAGACTGTCCATCATTTTAAAGGGTGCCTAGGGACTGTCCATCATTTTAGAATGGGGTGCCTCAAGACTGTCCATCATTTTAAAGGGTGCCTCGGGACTGTCCATCATTTTAGAATGGGGTGCCTCAAGACTATCCATCATTTTAAAGGGTGCCTCGGGACTGTCCATCATTTTAGAATGGGGTGCCTCAAGACTATCCATCATTTTAAAGGGTGCCTTGGGACTGTCTATTTTAAATGGTGCCTCAAGACTGTCCATCATTTTAGAATGGGGTGCCCCAAGACTGTTCATCATCTTAATGGGTGCCTCAAGACTGTCCATTTTAATCAATTCAATACGGGGCAATTTTACCCATTCCTGCCCAGGCCAGTTTTCAGGTCTCAGCGCTCTCACACTTTGAATGACAATTGCGCGGTCATACAACATTGTACCCAAACTAAAATTGTATCATTTTCTTCACACAACTAGAGCTTTCTTTTGGTGGTATTTAATAACCGCTGGGGTTTTTATTTTTTGCTAAATTAACAAAAAAAGACCAAAACTTTTGAAAAAAAACAAGTTTTTCTTTGTTTCTGTTATAAAAGTTTGCAAATAAATAATTGTTTCTTCATAAATTTAGGCCGAGATGTATTCTGCTCCATGTCTTTGGTGACAATAACCCAAATTAGGATGTATTTTTTTAGTTTGTCGGAAAGTTATAGAGTTCACAAACTATGGTATAGATCTGAATATTGATCAATCCTGAAGTACTGACAGCCAATCTAATTTCTTGAGGTCCAAGAATGTCAGGACAGGACAGATATCCCCCAAATGTCAGGACAGTACAGATATCCCCCAAATGTCAGGACAGTACAGATATCCCCCAAATGTCAGGACAGTGCAGATATCCCCCAAATGTCAGAACAGGACAGATATCCCCCAAATGTCAGGACAGTACAGATATCCCCCAAATGTCAGGACAGTACAGGACAGTACAGATATCCCCCCAAATGTCAGGACAGTACAGATATCCCCCAAATGTCAGGACAGTACAGATATCCCCCAAATGTCAGGACGTACAGATATCCCCCAAATGTCAGGACGGTACAGATATCCCCCAAATGTCAGGACGGTACAGATATCCCCCAAATGTCAGAACAGTACAGATATCCCCCAAATGTCGGAACAGTACAGATATCCCCCAAATGTCAGGACATGACAGATATCCCCCAAATGTCAGGACAGTACAGATATCCCCCAAATGTCAGGACAGTACAGATATCCCCCCCAAATGTCAGGACAGTACAGATATCCCCCAAATGACCCCTTTTTGCAGAGTAGACAGTCCGACATACTTCATAAGAGGAATGGCGAGTTTTTTGAAGTTGTATTTTTTTTTGTCATAATTTTTCGGAAAATGAAAAAATTAAAAAAATTAGTTTCACTATTTTTTTTTTACATCCTGTCACCAGTGCAGTACAGCGTCATCATATAACTGGCATGGCGGTGATCAGGGACACCGACTGGTGACAGTGTGAAAAAAAAAAAAATATATTTTTTTATTATTTTTTATTAAATTTTTTTTCTTTTTTTTAAGATGTTTTTTTCATATTTCACTATGACCAAAGTAGTACAATGTTACCATAGTAACATTGTACTACTTTGGGGAAGTGATCAGTATTTTTTATTTTTATTTTTTTTACACACAATTTGTTTATAGCAAAGAATTACTTTGCTATAAGAAGCATTTACCTGAATGAAATCGATTCATTCAGGGTTTTTTTTTTTTTTTTTTTTGTGCTTAGCTGTGATTTGTCCACAGCTAATCACATGACATGTGCATGTGATTAGCTGTGACCATTCACAGCTAGGCACTAGTATACCATGGATGGCAGGAATGAAGCCATCCATTGTATACAACTGTCATGTGACCTGCTGTGACCAATCACAGCAGGTCACATGACAGTTGTATACAATGGATGGCTTCATTCCTTGGCAGCAGGAGGAACATATAGTGCGCAAAGATGGTTATAGGTGCAGCGGGCGGCAATTACTGGATCCCCTGTATGGCTCTTCTCTGCCGCAGCTGAAAGCCAGAGGGAGGGAGAGGAGAAGAAGCCGGCTTTCAGCTGCTGCAGGGAGAGCCATACAGGGGATCGGTTCCAGTAATTGTCCCTCCACCACACCATACCGATCATCCTCCGTGTCCACACCCAATTCGCCCGGCTGCCTGGGCCCCCCTGCTGTCCTGGGCCCCATACAGGAGGAGTATTGGTACCTCATCCACGGCCCTGCTTCTGCACATGTGATCAGTTATGACACCGGCCATTTGAGGGGTTGGCAGTTTGGTTGAGGACACAAGCAATCCCTGCATTCCGGGAATGTAACTGTTTTATTTTTCAAGATGTTATGGGTAAAGTTCTGCTATAACTTCCTTAAATCTCTCCTGACATGTTTCATCCCTCTGATCTTATTGATCATCTCTGAACAAAGTATTCTAAATAAAGTCTAACTAAGGAGCTATACAGAGGAATCAGGACCTCCTTCCTCCTGCCGGTGACCCCTCTGGTGATATAAAGATCTATATAGAGGAATCAGGACCTCCTTCCTCCTGCCGGTGACCCCTCTAGTGATATAAAGATCTATATAGAGGAATCGGGACCTCCTTCCTCCTGCTGGTGACCCCTCTAGTGATATAAAGATCTATATAGAGGAATCGGGACCTCCTTCCTCCTGCCGGTGACCCCTCTAGTGATAGGATCTATATAGAGGAATCAGGACCTCCTTCCTCCTGCCGGTGACCCCTCTAGTGATATAAAGATCTATATAGAAGAATCAGGACCTCCTTCCTCCTGCCGGTGACCCCTCTAGTGATATAAAGATCTATATAGAAGAATCAGGACCTCCTTCCTCCTGCCGGTGACCCCTCTGGTGATATAAAGATCTATATAGAGGAATCGGGACCTCCTTCCTCCTGTCGGTGACCCCTCTAGTGATATAAAGATCTATATAGGGGAATCAGGACCTCCTTCCTCCTGCCGGTGACCCCTTTAGTGATATAAAGATCTATATAGAGGAATCAGGACCTCCTTCCTCCTGTCGGTGACCCCTCTAGTGCTATAAAGATCTATATAGGGGAATCAGGACCTCCTTCCTCCTGCCGGTGACCCCTTTAGTGATATAAAGATCTATATAGAGGAATCGGGACCTCCTTCCTCCTGTCGGTGACCCCTCTAGTGATATAAAGATCTATATAGAGGAATCGGGACCTCCTTCCTCCTGATGGTGACCCCCCTAGTGATATAAAGATCTATATAGAGGAATCGGGACCTCCTTCCTCCTGCCGGTGACCCCTCTAGTGATATACAGATCTATATAGAGGAATCGGGACCTCCTTTCTCCTGCCGGTGACCCCTCTAGTGATATAAAGATCTATATAGAGGAATCGGGACCTCCTTTCTCCTGCCGGTGACCCCTCTGGTGATATAAAGATCTATATAGAGGAATCGGGACCTCCTTCCTCCTGCCGGTGACCCCTCTGGTGATATAAAGATCTATACAGAGGAATCAGGACCTCCTTCCTCCTGCCGGTGACCCCTCTAGTGATATAAAGATCTATATAGAGGAATCAGGACCTCCTTCCTCCTGCCGGTGACCCCTCTAGTGATATAAAGATCTATATAGAGGAATCAGGACCTCCTTCCTCTTGACCCCTCTAGTGATATATAGAAAGGTCATCCAATGAGGAGGGAGTTGCAGTAGTCGAGGTGAGAGATAACCAGGGAGTGAATTAGTAGCTTTGTGGTATGATTGTTAAAAAGGGACATATTCTGGAGATGTTGCGGAGGTTGAGGCGGCATGATTTGGACAGGGATTGGATGTTGGCCTGAAAGGATAGCTCAGAATCCAGGTTCCCTCTAGCACCCTGGCATGCGGGAACAGATTAATAGTGGTGCTAGTGATCCTGACTGAAAAATCAGGGGAAGAGGCACGTGGGGGAGGTAATATTCTGAGCTCAGTTTTGGACAGATTGAGTTTTAGGAAGTGATGTGACATCCATTCTGATATGTCTGTTAGTAAATCGGTGATATGTGAGTAAACTGATGGGGTGAGCTGAGGAGTAGAGAGATAGATTTGTGTGTCATCAGCATAGAAATGGTATTGGAAACCATGAAGAAGCTATCAACTGACCCAAGGAGGAGGTGTAGATGAAGAATAGAAGAGGTCCAAGGACAGAACCTTGGGGGACCCCGACAGTAAGAGGAGTAGGAGAGAAGGAAGTAGAGTTGTGACACTGAAGGTGCAGTGAGATAGGTAAGATTCGAACCAATGGAGAGCACAGTCATGGAGACCAAGTAAGTTGAGCTTTTTGAGGAGGAGGGGGTGGTCAACTGTGTCAAAGGCAGCGGAGAGCTCCTAGAGCAAGAGTACGGAATAGTGAACATTGGTTTTAGCAGTTAGTAAGTTGTTTTGTGAGTTTTATGAGGAGTGTTGTGGGCGAAATCCAGACTGAAGGGGATCTAGAAGGTTATTCTCAATAAGGTGGCAGCTCAGCCGGTTGTAGACTAGACGTTCAAGGAGTTTGGAGGCAAAAGAGAGTAAGGAGATGGGTCTTAGGTTGCTAAGATTGGTGGAGTCCAGTGAGGCCTTTTTAAGTATGGGGGTGACTAGCGTATGTTTTAGAGAGTTGGGGAAAATGCCAGTAGAAAGGGAGAGATTGAAGATATGAGTTAAAGAGTGAAGGATAGAGTCAGAGGGTGACCGAAGTACTTGCGAGGGAACAGGGTCTGAGGGGCAGGTGGCTAGGTGGTTTTGTTTGATTTGCCTGGCTACCTTGTTTGCTCATTTTGTTATCATCTTAAATGAGCAACCCCAAATCTCCTTATTTCCTTAGCTCTGGTCAACATTGAAGCCCCAATTTTGTACTCTCCGCACTCTCGGTAATATGGGGTTAGCTGGTCTGTAGCTTAGCTATTGCTGGTAACTGCCTATTTAGGGTCTCATCTCCACTCTTCATCAGCCAGGGAGTCACTATAGTCCATTATACACAAAAAAGCATGAAGAGGATCAGTAGATCCATGGATCAGGTGAAGTCGGAGGCAAATTCAATTTTTTTCTGTAAAAAGTCATGCTTTGCTTTGGGACAACAGGCTACTCCAGAGGCCAGAAGGATGGAGCCAAGCTCACATTTCTGCAAATTACACCAGATGTATTGGAGGTTCTGGGAAGCACAGTGGCTTAGTGGTTAGCACATCTGCCTTGCAGTAAATGGGTCATGGGTTCAAATCCCACCCATGGCACCTCCTGCATGGAGTTTGCATGTTCTC